TAGATAGATAGATAGATAGATAGATAGATAGATAGATAGATAGATAGATAGATATTCAAGCCTGCCCCACCTTTCATGTACTAGAGTGGGTCTGAAACACCTGGTTGAGGCACTAGTTAAGTATTGCCAAGACAATCAATTACAAATTAACTATGATAAAACTAAAATTTTGGTTTTTGAAAAAAAAGTTAAAAAGTACATCTGGAAAATTCAAGATCATATAATAACACAAGTAGAGGTTGTTAGTTATCTGGGCATTTTATTTACCATGCTCTAACCTGGCAACATCATTGTAAGGCAATACTTCGGAAAGCAAAATCTACTATGATGGCCTCGCTTCAATATTTTTACTCAAAAGGAGGAAGATTTGTTCCTGCAGCAATAAACATTTTTAATGCCAAATTAAAATCTCAAATTTTATATGGAGCTCCAATTTGGATCACATTTGCTAATAATAACATAGCCCAATTGCAGGTGAAATTTTTAAGATCTCTTTTAAGTGTCCCAAACTGTGTTCCAAATTTTGTTATTCTCTCAGAAACTGGGCAATGCTTTGGGTTAAGCGCTATCAGATGTGGTTTCACACATTTTTTAAAAAAATAAGGAAGGATTGCTTCAGGAAATCCCAAATGAATCCTTTGTAGATATGTACGTAGTTTAAACAGGTGACTCAAAAGATAAGTCAGATTGGCATTGATCCTGATTATTTATTTTCCAGGGGTATGTCATCAGCATTTCATTGTATCAAACAAAGACTATGGGATAATTCAGTACAGGAATTAATGGCTAAAGCCAAAGTATTGGGTTTACCTGTAAGTTTTGGAATTAACTACAGATATATTTTTCAACTCCCTAAATATTTGAATAGTTTATATTTAGGTAAATTCAGAATAGCCTTTTCTAAAGCCTGATTAATTGTGTTGCCATCAAATATGCTATATGGTAGATTTCAAAAAATCCCCATCTCTCAAAGATTTTGTCCCTGTAATGGTACTGATCCTGAAATGATGGATCATATTTTATTGTATTGAGAATTTTATAAGAGTCTTCAGCAGGAAGTTATCTGGCCTATTTTAAAATCCAAACCAGGAAGAGATACTTCTGAGTATGTAAAAATTTTACTTGCAGATAAAAATCCTGAGATTACAGTGACAACAGCCAGATTTTTAACTGTGGCTATAAAAACAAGGTTTTACTAACAAATCAATGAGTTGGGGTTTTAAGTGTATTATGTAATATTTATTAAATATTGTATTTGTTAAACTGTTTTATGTAAAGCCAAGTTTAGATTATATTTGTAAATTGCTTTTGGGCCTTTTGGCCGTAAATAAAATTGAAACTGATTACAACAAATGATCTCTTCTTCCCATATCTCATCTCTTATCTATAAACAAAATTTTATTGTCATTCAGCCTGGTCATTCAGTCCTGGTCAGCAAAATCCACTAAGGGTTATCAGAGATAACTTATCTATTTTAACCTTAATCAAATAAACCAATTTATATTCCTTCCCTTTACTTTTAACTATCTTGATTTTTAATCCCTTCAAATAATGTCCTAGAACTTGATTTCTTTTCCTTTTTTCTTTGTCTCTTCTCACAAAATTCTTCAAAACTTTTGTAGCCTCTTTTGTAAATCCAATATAGGAAGTTATCCAAGTCACTCTTCTGATTTGTTATTTGCATGTCCCTTTTAATTATTAAAACATCAGCCAGTTTCATTTGTATATCCAGTATATCATATTTTTTCAGATCATTCTTGTAGCCTGTCATTTTTAAATCCATGTTCAAATCAATTTCAGTCTTGTCTGGTAGAACTTGTTGCTCTTGCATAACATCATTTAGACACAGTCTAGCTATAGAGGCAGACATTCTTAAAATTAACTTCTGAGTCCATTGTGCACAAATATCCTTTAGTATGTCCAGTGTTAAAGTATTTTGCTCCATTCTGTGTTAGCAAGTTGAATTTAAGTGTACTTCTCCTTTATTTGTAATTTTAATTCCTTCTGGTACCCTCTAGTGTCCAATTTTCAAAGTCCCAACCCATCATGTTTTTTTTCCAGAATTCAAAACACCAGCTGTTTCCCATGGAAAGGATTCCTATAATTAATTTCAAAATCTTCTTTCAAATCCATCTGGACCTTCAGTCCATTTACGACTTTCTAAAAACAACTCTAATCGCCCTGTCATTTATTTCCCCCAAAAAAGAATTTTCCCAAGTCCTTAAACTTGTACTTAAAACATCTTTTGCTAAGAATTGAATGAAACTCACCCACTGAATGCCATAAAACTTGCTGTTCTGAAGGTTCTTAATATTTGAAAAGCAGGAAAAAAGTAATTCCAAAGGTGATTAAGAAATAAGGCTTGGCCAAGCTTTTTGTCCATAAAGACTACGTTACGACTCTGAGCTTGGATGGAATCCCTTGACTCCAAGCTACTCACTCCCTAGCTGAACACAAAAACCTCCTGCAGTCTACTTATGAGGAGCATCTGTCTGGAGTACACGAGGGCGATCTCACAATCTATCCTTTCTCCGGAGAGTTTTCGCCAGTCTGGATCCATCTTCCAGCTGCCAATCTCTGCCATAATGTCGTCCCTGCTCCTTCAGGGATGTCTAGCTTGCCATGTCCTCACAGGAAGTCCCTATAAGAATCTTCATCGCAGCCAAGAGTGAAGCCAAGCAAGGAGGTTGATTGTTCACTCTATGTATAAAGGTACCAATCCCTCTTATACTCACGGTGGTTCAAATCTGTAACTTTGTCTTCCCACCCTTCCGACAACTTAATGGATCCTTTGTACAGTGCTTGATGGCCTTGAAGCTGAGTGATTACTGAGTATTTACATAATTGTGAATTCTATCTAAGGACAATTAGTTCTCAACTTGCTTTTCCCAATTTTTGTTTATTTGTATAATGACTGAGTTCAGAATTCTTCAATTCTTACTACAAGCCTCTTGCACCTTATACATCCCAGGATTTTAGTGTACACCCCAGTATTTTAGTAAACATAGTCTATTTTTATATTGAATAAATATAAAGCAGATCCCACTGCCTACCCCTGGATTAAGACATTTTGGTCAGGATGAATAATCGGCTATCATTTATATCCAATGATTGTAAATATTTGCAGGCAATGGTGCACTGCTAAATGTTTAAAAACCAGCCCTGCAGGCTCTATTGCCACTGCCATGCTGCACCACTAGCCACGGAACAGCTGTTTGGCATGCTAGGTGTCAGGGCTCAGCTCTGCTCTCAACCAACTTGCAAAATTCCAGAACATTTAACAATCAGCTCTCGTGAGCCTGTGTGAGCTGGCTCCAGCACACTACTGTTTGCAGGCCAAGCTAGTATATTGGTTTGGACAGCAGCAGCTTCCCTATCTTGACAATGAATAGGGGTATGCAAAATGTTTTGAATTTGAACCGTTTCAAATTCTAAAAGACCTATTTCAGGTTTGAAACAATTGTTTCACATCTGAAGCTGTTCTAACCATTTTGGAATATTCTGGACGCTAATAATCTTCAGCTTTCCTGAACGAATTTTCTTCTGGAACCTAGTTCTTCTTACCTTCTTATCCTTTTTCTGCTCTTCTCTACAAAGCCCATTTACTTTTGCTTCTTTACTCACAGACCATTGGACTAAGTCTTTTAACTACAGACCTTGCTTTGCCCCTTGATTTTGTGTTTCTGCTTGTAGACATAGTTTATCTACCATGATTGATTCAACACCATTTTATCTTAGCTGCCAACTATCCTCACTTAATTGTCCCAGATTTCTCCTACATGGGCTACAGGATCTGAATTTGATCCTGCAAATGTTATGTAGGCAAAAGTGAGAACAAGCAGGTGTAGATAGTCCTAAAGGTATTTGGTATAGCTAAAATATATATCCTTAGGATACACTGCATTGTTTAAAATAATTACTACTACATCATCAGTTGACAATGCCCACGCATGCAACAGGGAAAGATAGATATTGTAATTAATTTGTATTACTTAAAATTAAGGAGAAAAAGGTTGACAGGAAAACTCAACCTCTGCAGATTTTGCTATTTTCGGTCTTTCAAAGGGAACGATAAGGCTTTTTACATAACAAAAGACAGTTGTTAAAAAGTATGTCTTTCCATACATAAACATATTTCCTACCTTGTGGTTCAGGTCGTCTTTGTGGACAAGAGAGCTGGTGATTTGCAGTTAAACTGGTGTGGAAGAAAGGCTGCAAATCTTTCACTTGGTCTGAATGCCTTAGAATGGCCAGGGATGCTGAAGTATCAGCTAAAATCTTTTTAAGAAAAGAAAAAAGAAAAGAAAAGAAAACGGAGTTGTTTTTCAATCAAGCTTTATAGTCATCAAGACACGTGCACATTATTCTATGACTACTGTATTACATTTAACATACTGGATGGTCTCTGGCAAGGTTCAGTGCTAGACTGGAGTCCGTCTTCCCCAAGCTGGCGCCTTCAGATGTATTGAACTACAACTCTCAACCGGCATAATAGTCTATCACATTTGGAGGGATTCAGCCAGGGAAGGTTAGCTTAGGATTGTATCTAGTCAATCCAGTTCTGTTGAGTTGTATGATACTCTTTCTCCCAGAGCCTATATTTGAATGGGCCAAGCCCTGTGATTTCTTCGGCAGCTGTGCTTTGCACCTACATCACCTGCTACCTGTGTGTTTCCCTCACTGGCACAGAGGAACTGCTAATAATGGCATGTGATATATGCTGATTTTTGCTCAAAGTTAATTTGTATCTTTAGAAGTAAAAAAGGCTATAGGAAGGTATTAATCTGCTTAACATTTCTAAGTACATCATCCAAGGGATTTTGTTTTTTTAATCTTACATATGCTCAGCAGAGCTACTGGCAAAAACTGTACATTTTCTTCATTTCATCCTTGCAACATCAAATGGTAAGCAGCAAAAATTGGATCAGACTTCAAAGACGGCTGTGCTCCCAGTCACAGAGCGACTCCTCCATTTCACATATTGAATTCGAACAGGATATCAAAGTGCTACCAAAGAACCTCAGGTCCTTGTGAAAAAAAAGAGGATCTCACATCTGTAGAAAGTGAAGTGCACAGACAAATCACCTCAGGGACCAGCTAACATTTATTCACAGCAGCAGATTTCCAGCCTTTTGATTCCCTTGTTCACTGTACCTCCCTATCTTTCCACAGAACAAAAGTTCTTAGCAAGCAGAGCTTTGTCTCCAAGACTTCAAAATACTCCTAACGGTTTCATATTCTGATAGTTGTGCCAAGCAACTCTGAACATGCTTCTGAACTGTAGATTCAGGGATCTTATATCATTTTAGAAACTGAATTTCATAGTACCTTGCTTGTTTGTTTGTCAAGAAAGCACTGTTTTGCAGGAGAAGGGCTGCTACTTTTCTGTCTGAAACAAGAAAAAATGTTGTTATTGTTGCTATTGCTTCTTAAGATAGCATTAATTTCTATATCATTTCCCTTCTGGTTATCCCCATTATGTTTAATCCTCTGATAACAATTTCTTACAACATAGCTATTAAGCACAGCAAATTATATTTCTAAAGATTTCTGTTACTCTTTTATTTACTTTCTTTAAAGGATATTTTCTAAAGCAACAACTATGCATGGAATGTTCTACTATAAATTTAAAGAAACACAAAAGAAAAATGTTTCCTTATTTTAAAAACATTGGCCACAAATGAAAGGGGGAAGTTGTGCCTGCTCACAGAGCTTTGCTCATTTATGTGTTTTTATTCTCACTGATTATCAAAGAAACAAGCCACTTTTGAAAGTCATTGTCCTTTCACAAAGGTTGGAGAATTCAAGCTGTTGTGTCCTCTGCTCTCAGAACATTCTCTACATGAAATCTCACAGTCACATATTATCTAACTAATAACTAATTCCCCATTCTAGAGGACAGAGGAGAATCCCCCCTCCCACACTTTGGCTGAGAAACTACCTGGGGCTTATAATAAATATCATTATAATATTTTATTTACAGATACAGTAATATTGGAAATACTGTAATTTGCCATTCCTAAAGAAAGCCCATCAAAGCTGTATCTTCAACTTTACAATAATTCAGACTGACTTTTTGCTTGTAGGCTGTATCTCTTGGGCTCTGTCTATTTGAAAACTCCACACATTGTGCTCTCTTTCATACTCACACATACACACCTAACAACAGTGTGGATTCAAACACTGGGTTCACATATCAGTTTATTGAAGAAGCCATAATGACCTAGAATACTAAACCATACATCAAAATTTTCAATGCTCCAAAGGCTGAATTAACCCATCAAGCATAAGGCAGAACCACACCAGAAGTATAACTTAGCATAGGGGTGCAGATCACTTACTACTCAAAGTCCACACTAGACTGTGCAACATATTGAAGATCATAATCTAAAAGTGCAGGGGGGCTGGAATTAACTTGGGGGTGAGATTTTAAGGGACGAGAAAATGCTTTTTGCCCCTTAATCCTATCCCAAACACTCTCCAAATGGCCAAGATTATTAGGTCCATTCGTTCCAGGTTGTCTGGGGGAGGGGTAACAAAATGGGTTCTCGTGGGCCACACACAGTCCATGGGGTACAGTTTTTGCACTCTTGGTTTAGCATAATGTACAATCCCAGCAATGAGAAAGGGAGATTATCACGACCAGCTGAAGAGTTACTTTCCCTCACAATTCAGAATTAGGAATTAGTGCTAGATTTCTAAAAAAAAAGAAATGTCAGGACATAAGTGTATCTGGAAGTTCAACTTTCTCATCTAAAAAGTTCTAATTCTGTAGTTTTTTGTGCTGAGAGAAATACAGTCTGAAGTGTTCTAGGGACAATTTTAAATGGTTCTTTCCTCATATGCTTTGAGGTGAAGCCCTGGCACTGAAAATAATGCTAGGATATTAGGATATAACCCTGGTACAAATTTAGTGCTGTCTAGAATCAAAGAAAAGTTGGAATGAACCAGACATTATTTTCTTCTAAATGCCTGTTTTAATTAATATAATAACCAGGTCTACCTCATCTGGACTACATAATTCCAGAGAAACGCAAGATAGCAGCAAAAGGATACAGAAAACTCACTTGGCTTCCTTTCAGTGGTTGTCTGGAAGTTTGCAGGCTAGAAATGGTAGCCCTGCTAATAACAGCAACCTACAGAGTAACGAGGCAGCAGTTCCACTGAAGTGCTTCTCTGCCAGTGCTGGGTTATATAACCTGCAGTTTATAGCTAAAATATTTTACTTCACCTCAGCTTGGCCTCAGAGCTGACATCACTTAATTAGTTCAAGTCCATCCTGCTCTTGCTGGACTCTGGGAATATTCACAGGTTACCGCTTTGTATCAAACAACTATACAAGGCAGATTCTTGAACTGAATGGACCATTGGATTGTCAGAGGAATTAGCTCACATGAATTTCTCTGAAGGACCACGGAGTAGAGATTTGAGAGATATTCAAATATATAAGTTTTACACACTCATCTGGTAAGGATAAATCATTATATTTCTGATATGGACAAGACATTATATGATCATAAGTCAATTTCGTATGATTTTCATAATCTACAACCAAAAAAATGCATAAAAATGCTATTTTTGTAAGCATTTCCCCCTAATCTAGATATCTCCATACATAATTTCTCAGTTGAGAATTGTATCACTAAATTTAGAGGTGTGCAATCTGAACGATGACTTTTTTTTTTAGTCTGGAAGTGTAAATTAAGCCGGTCTGATTACATTGGTGATCAAATAAAATTCTCTGCTTAAAATAACAAGAAAACCAGATTTACACATTGTATGAAGATGTACCTTGCCTAATCATGATTTACTGAATAAACTACAATTGCTTGGGTTTATACAGAAATATAAACCACAACATTGGGTTCATACAATATACTAAGCCAGAACCAAACAATGTGTAAACCTGTTCTGAGTCTTGCTTCATCTTAAAAGTGATCAGGTTTACTTTGTGCAGATTGAATATTGTCCTATAATCTTGAATTACAGGTTCACCTACACATTGTTAGGAAGAGGAAAGGAATTATGAAAAGCAAGATCAGAAGGAAACAAAACACAGGAAGTACAGATTATGTTACAAAGTGAGCACTCAACAAAGCAATGTTTTAGGATAGCACAGATATCCTGGAATTGGTAATTAACACATGTAGTATGATTAAAGCAAAATTACAATGTTGTCCTTATTCAATCATTATTATACACAACATTATTGTAGTGTTCCACTGATAGCAGAAGGTCCCAATCATGGAATGATTCCTAGATGAGCATTGATGGAAGTCTCCAGGTTAGAGGACAAAAACAGCAGCCACCATACATACAGTAATTGGAAGAATGACATATATATGCATCCTCTACCAAGTTTAAAATATTCTGTGTTTATGCAAACATTTGAACAGAGCGCATGGGTTGTTCCAACTTGACTACATGCTCCATTCATGCCTGATAGAGCCCATAATCATTTTGCAAATGAGGGAAACTGGGCTGAAATCTGGTCCCTGCCCTAAGTGTGTTTAGGTCCAATAAAGAATGACTAATGGTTCACGTAATTCAAGTTAATCACAAATGTCGATACTTTTTCAGCAGAGACGGCCCAATAGAAGTATCCCTATGAAGAAAAACTAATATTCTAATAGCCCGATTTTTATAGATAATTGTCTACTATAATGAGAACTGATGAGCCTTAATATTCATTTTAAAAAATACATGGGAAAGACTCCAATCATGTCATGCAATACTATAAGATGTAATAATATAAGAGTGCGTAATAATATAATAATAGTGCAATAATATAAGAGAGCCAGTTTGGTGTAGTGGTTAAGGCACCAGGCTATAAACTGGGAGACCATGAGTTCAAGTTCCTCCTGAGGCACGAAGCTAGCTGGGTGGCCTTGGGCCAGTCACACTCTCTCAGCCCTAGGAAGGAGGCAATGGTTAACACTTCTGAAACCTTGCCAAGAAGACTGCAGGGACTAGTCCAGGCAGTTGCCAGGAGTCAAAAACCAACTCAAAGGCACCCCCCTCCCCAAAAGACCTATTAGGAAGTAGTTTTCATATGACTGATATTGACTACATTTCTTGGGAGATATTTTTCAGGGCAGACTAGGCCTCTAGTTCTAGTTATGCAAGCAATGGCAAACATATTTCTCCTATTCACTTTTACCATGTCAAACCTTACATACTTTCATCATACTATAATAACCCAATCCCTTTTAACTGCCTTTTCTCAAATCTTTTTAGTCTCTTTCTTTGTAAGAAAAGTGCTTCATAAAAGTGCTGCATTTTTAATCTGCAGACCTTTTCTTCATCTTTTTACTTTGATCACTTCAGCTTTTTTAAAAAGAAAAAAAACAATGGTTACTCTTCACAGATGGGTTTTATGTATCGGGGCCAAAATATTCTCTGTTGTCCCAGACCCCTAAGTTTCAACAGTTCATCCAGTGAACACAGCTACTTTGTTTGGGCTCTAAAATACAGACAACCACTAAATGGGAGCAAGGAGTGGAATTAGAATTTTTATTTCTTCTCATTATTACTTCTCATTATTACTTCCATTCATTGTTTTTCTTCTAGCCATATTCATTTTCATTACTGGCCTTTAGTTTGTTAGGGAGGTGGCAAGCAGGGGATCATGGGATTCAAAGAAGCCGGGGAAAGTAGTTGGCCTGAGAAAACATATCACCTTTTCAGTTCTACCGTCTCACACAAAGACAGTCCTTCTATAGGGTTAGCTCACTTGGTGCTTTTCAGAGCTGAGATTGTTCTGAAGTTTAAAAATGTAGTGAATGGATGAGGTAAATATTGTCATATGCAGCATTTTATATTTTCACCACTTCTTCCAGAACTCTGTATCTACAGGGCTCCTGTACTATTTTGTCTCATAGTTTGTAAAAGCCATGGCCTAAGATGCACAAACTCTCAGCCTGCAACAAAGCTTAAAATACATAAAGCTGAAACAACCACATACTGATTCTCCAAGAACACAAGAACGGTCCAGTTGAATCAAGCCAAAGCCCATTTTAATTCAACATTTTATTTCTCACAATAGCCAACCAGATGCTACTGTGGTGCTTGCCAACAGGAGATGGAGACATATTTCTCTCTTGCTATTGTTCCATGCAATTGGTATTTGGAGACATGTTGCCCCAACCCTGAATTAACACTGAGTCTTCAGGTTTAGTAGCCCTTGATAGACTTGTCCTTCATTAATTCATCTAATCCACTTTTAAAGCTATCCAGGTTAGTGCCATCATCACATTTTCCAGTAATAAATTCTACAGGTTAATTATGTATTATGTGAAGTACTTTTTAAAATCTGTTTTAAATCTCCTGCTAATCAGCTTCATTAGATGATCCCTAACCTGTTTCTCTGTTTCTCCTGTTTTCTACTCC